ACCTCATTATATTCATGCCCTGCTCCCATCATTTGAATATATTTTACTTTTTTTATTTACTCTGCTATATATAAAACGACACACACACGCACACACACACACCTCAAACACCATTGTCTTTATGATGCATATGTAATGCAGAGCAAACATAATTCATCTGTGTGGAATAATAATACCCAAAAAAATAACAATAATGTTTCAAGCTTCATCACATGAATAATAATATTCACCGACCAAAGCAACAATAATATTCATATATATATATATATATAATCACTAAAATTAAAAGTGATATAGCCCAATCATTGGGAATCAAGAAACCCTACCTCAGGTCCAACTAGCTTAACCTTGTGCAGGTTCGTCCTTGAAAGTATGTACACCTAAAGCCCCAAAAATAAAACACTTGACAAGTTGTTCGACCCGATCATTACTCCCTTAACCACATGTTCAAACAAGCATTAGAACCAAGTGTGAAGGAAAAACCAATCTATTCCCCTGCTATAATTGTTCTACTTTTCAGGATGTTTAAAATCAGGTGGTTTGGCTCTAGACTCATAAAGAAAATTTAAAACATCAATTTAAAACAAAAACTTCAGTTTTGCTAAACATTTAGGTTGGAACACGTTAACTTTGAAAGTTCACTAAATATTGAGTTTAAATCAAAATAGTGTAAAAAATTTCAGATTACAACTAGACATAGAAAAATTAAAAATGTCAAAATTTGATGGAAATTAGGGTTAAGGAAGAATGTCAAAATAGAAACCAAAACAGACTAGGCTGCAAAATGTTCTTTGTTTTTTTTCTTCGGGTTTGTACACTTTATTTGAAAACTCACCAAAATTTCAATTTATAACCAAAATGGATAAAACTTTCTAGATTTGAAGAAACTACCTGAAAGAAAAACATATTGAAATTTCATGAAAATCCAAGTTTAGGAAGTTTTCAAACACGTATTCAAAACATGGCATGTGGTAGAATCAGAACAATTCCAACAACATAGTCTCTACTTTGAAATTTCACAAAAAACTCAATTTAAATTCAAATGGCACAAATCCAACTTTGAAATAACCTTTGAGATATCAATTTTGATGTAACAAAATCCCAGAATGAAATTGGTACAAAATCCCATCGAAATAATCTAGAACTTCACAGAAACACACTTTGAAAGACATATATGTCATTGAGGCAATCTAACCAATACTTAAGTTGCAACTAGTACTCAAAGAGACAACAAGAAGATGAGCTTCATACCTTCAAAGAATCATTTACTTGAGATGATAGTGGCTAATTTTATTAATTGAATGACAAGTAACAAACCATTTGAGAGAAAGTACACATCTACAACAAGAAATTCAATATAATCAAAGAACAAGTTCCACTCTAAACTTTTCCAAGGTGGCTATAGAAGTCCGATCAACCTAACGTTTTGCTATGTTATAGTAGACAGAATTTCGAACAACTTTGATGAAGGAACCAAAGTCATTTGAGTACAAGAAATCATAGAAATATTTTGAAACCGAGCATACTACTGTGAAATCCGAAAATGGTAAACATACTGTGATCATACTAAGTTTTCGGATTCAATACTGATCGGATTGAGGTGAAAATGGAGTAGGTTATAGGAATCACGTAAATGAACAACTTTCATGAAGGAAGGTGTCTCATTTGAGCTCTCTAAATTTGAGTTCTCAGCTGATCCAAGGAAATGACGAATTTTTGAATTTTTGAAGAACAAAAGAAGAATGAGGATGAAAATATGTGAATGAGGAAGAAAGGGATGATACAATGAATGATGAGGATGAGAATAATTTCATGATTGAAGATTCTTAGAGGTGAGTCATCAATTTAGAGTGATAATACAATGAATGGGGAGGAAGAGAATACATTCTTGATTAATTAAGGAATCTTAGGCTAAGTGAGTCATCAATTTAGAATAGGTGACTCACCACTTTCATAATTGCAAATTTGGAAGCTTGAGGCAAGAGGGGAAGAATGGGAGGAGGGTGGTTTGATGCCCTCCACGTTTCAATCTAATTTTTTTTTTGGCCTACAAGGGTATTTTGGTAATTTTCACACATAAGGGTATTTTGGCCATGTTTGTCCAACTTCAAATTAAACACACTTAATTTAATAATCTCAATCCAAAATTACTTGGTAAAATACCCGTAATCATTCTCCACAAAATATTATTTTTTACTAAAATATGAAAATCCTCCTTGAATTTTTTCGAGGTGTTACATAAATAGAAAAAATTTATAATAATACATGCACAAAGTGTTTTTCAACCAATCCGATGGCAATTTCTCGACATTGATATTCAAGCGAAGGAGACTTTCCGTTAGTAGAAACATAAGAGATATGGTGTTTAAAAAATGTATCAAGATCACATTGTAACAATTTGCAATAAGGTAACTCATTTCTGGTATGAGCATCCACCTATCTTCTAGAGGGAAAGTAGTACTCAACCTCACGCTTACTTTCAACACTCTGAAAGATGAATTCATAAAGAAATTCATCATTTTTCAACTCATTTAGGAACTCCCTCCTTACCTTGCGCCAAGAATTCTTCTCATAACCTAGCAACCCAACAATGGCTTTAAAGCCACAATTGCCATCAGATTTTACATCTTTGGCCTCCATAATAAATAGCCTTATAGCAGCTGGAAGTTTATCATTATATTGTTGTGTCAAGTCTTTGACATTGACAATTTGTTGCTTATGCACCTGAATAAAAAAATTATGAGTTGATCTTTTGAAATTTTGATGCGTTAATCAAAATAATATAAGTACATACCAGTAGTTTTGGTGCCTGCTTTTTAGGTAGTGTAGTTTCAACATTTACAATTGTGAGTGCTAATGATTGAGTATCATGGTTCACCTATAAAGTAAAGAAACATAAGGAGCAACAAGTATAATTGTAATATGAAGTACTTACCGTCGGACAGTTGAGAATTCCTATTACAACCGGATTCGACAAGCTCAAAGGCTAAAGGCAATCTACGATTAAACTTGTCAAAATTACTCATATGCCCTTTTGTCTTGATCTTTACTTATGGTTCTCTAAGTGTTGAAGATTTTGGATCCATAATCTCTTGTGACTCCATACCGATGTGTCTCTTGGTGTCAGCATCATTACTTTCAAGGGCAGACGCATGTTGGGACAAGAGGGGTTGCACGACCCCTTGGAATGCTGGAAAATTAGTAAGGAACTCCATGAACGACCCCTTGAACAGTTGCTGGACAACCCTTTGTATGCACACCAACTGCTCGACGAAAGTCCCAGCTGATATGCTTCCTTTGCGCGTCATTTTTTTTAAAAATTAGCCTTGCCAAACGACTTCGTTTGGTCCAAGGCTCAGTCAAATTTTTTTTTTAATTGACTTGGCCTCCAAATGATGTTGTTTTGGGCCAGGTTTTAAAAAAATAAAAAATACAAACAGACGTAGACTCGATTCTGCACAGCACAACACCTCCAAACTTCATTCCCAATTTCAAATCTCTTCCACCCTCTCAAACCCTAACCTCCCAACCTTCAACAACCTCCATCAACTCTTCGCCGGTGGCTCAGTGCCGACCACCACCACCTTGTGCTGCCGTCCGCCGCCCTTTTGTTCAACTACAAGTAAGCTAAATTTATATTAATAAATTTATGGTGATAATATATATTGTTGATATTGAAATTTTTTTTATATGTAATGAAATTTATGGATATGATAATGTAGATTGATTGAGTTTATGCTTGATTGATAATGTGGATTGATTGAGTATATTGAATATTGATTGATATTTGATATGATAATTTGGTATATTAAATATTGATTGATATGGGTTTAGGGTATATTGAATATTGATAATGGGTTATTGACATTTTCATATTCATATAATAATTTGGATAAAAATTAATGATTGATTGAATTGATTGATTTGTAGATTTATGGAACGATTCTTTAAAAGAAAATTATCTACGGATAGTTCTTCTCAGTCTAATCTGGGTAGTTCAAATGCAAGACCAATTGAAGTAGATGAAATATTGGCTAATCTTTAGGCAGACCCTGGACTAAGAACTCGAATAACGAATTATAGTCTTAATATTCGGGATGAGATTCAAAGAGCATATCTACAAAAGGGACCTTGTCAACCTAGAAGTTATTAATTCCCACAAACTAATCAATCAGGAATTAATAGACGCTTCATTTTTCAATGGTTTGATGAGTTTGATTGATTAGAATATAGTATAGCTAAAGATGCTGTGTTTTGTCTTCATTGTTATCTCTTTAAACCTAATTTTGATCAAGTGGGTGGTGATGGATTCATTGGTTCACTGGGGTAGGCTTTAATAATTAGAAGAAAGGGAAAGAAAGATTTAACCTTCATGTTGGACCGGTTGGTAGTGTTCACAACCAAGCTAGAGAAGTTGGTTACAATTTGATGCATCAAGCTACACACATTGAAACAGTTACGATCAAGCAAACAAACCAAGCTCGCATGGCGTATCGCACTTGCTTGAATGCATCACTCAAGTGCACTAGGTATTTGTCGCGACAAGGTCTTTCTTTTCGTGGTCATGATGAAAGTGTCATTTCAAGTAATAAGGGGAATTATTTAGAGCTCTTGCAATTTCTTGCGGATCATTATGAAAAAGTTAAGGCCGTTGTGTTGGAAAATGCTCTGGGCAATTTAAAGTTAATAGCTCCTTCAATTCAAAAAGATCTTGTCAATTCTTGTGCCAAAGAAACCATTGGTCTTATCTTGAGTGATGTACAAGATAGATATTTTTCAATAATAGTGGAGAAGCACGTAATGTTTCAATAAAGGAGCAAATGGCGATGGTGTTGCGTTATGTGAACGACAAAGGACAAATAATTGAAAGGTTTGTAGTGGTTCAACATGTAACTGACACTACTTCAAGTGCACTAAAGGAAGCCATGGATGAATTCTTTTCTTCTGCGAATTTGAGCTTTTCCAAGCTATGATAACAAGGTTATGATGGAGCTAGTAATATGAGAGGTGAGTTTAATGGCCTTAAAACAAAGATTTTGAGAGAACAACCTTGTGTATTTTATGTTTATTACTTTGCTCATAAACTTCAACTAGCTCTTGTTGCTGTAGTAAAGAAAAACATTGATGTCAACTCTTTTTTCACAACGGCTAATAGTTTGGTTAATGTTGTTGGAGCATCTTGTAAGCGTCGGGATGCACTTAGAGCACAATACCAAGAAGAGCTTGTGAAGGCTTTTGAGAATGATTGTGTTATAACAGGGAGAGGTTTAAATCAAGAAACTAGTCTCAAACGTGCCAGCGATACACGATGGAACTCACATTATGGTACGTTGATTAGTATCATTTCTATGTTCTCATCTGTGGTGAATGTGCTTCAAATGATTGTTGATGATAATCCTAATGATAGTTCAGGTGAAGCCTATAAGTTATGGAGAGAAATACAATCTTTTGAGTTTGTGTTTCACTTATTTTTAATAAAAGCTATATTGGGAATAACAAGTACTTTGTCTCTGGCATTGCAAAAGAAAGATCAAGACATTGTGAGTGCAATGATTTTAGTGAAAAACATGCAAGGAAAACATACAGTTGATGAGGGATAATGAGTTTGAAGAATTGGTTGAGCAAGCATCTTCATTTTGTGACAAACACGATATTACAGCTCCTACCATGGATGAGGAATATGTAATTCCAGGGAAATCACGACGTAATGCTCCAATGAAGACAAATTATCGTCGTTGTGGTGTGGAGATCTTTGTTCATGTAATTGATAGGCAACTTGCGGAATTAAATGATCGCTTTGACGAGGTAAGTACTGAGTTACTTACTTGTTTGGCATGCTTGATCCGAAAAATAACTTTGTAGCATTTGACAAACAAAAGCTAGTTCATCTTGCTCAATTTTATCCTGAAGATTTTTCGAATTGAGACTTATTGATGCTTGAAGATCAACTTGGTGTTTATGTTCATTATATGCGTTCAAGTAGTGATTTTTCTCAATTGGAAGACATTAGTAGTCTTGCAAAAAAAATGATGGAGAAAAGAATGCATGAAATATTTCCTTATGTGTATTTGCTTCTTACATTGACTTTGATTTTACCGGTTGCAACCGCTTCAGTGGAGAGGGCAGTTTCCGCCATGAATATTATTAAAAATTCACTTCGCAACAGAATGGGAGATCAATGGTTGAATGATAGCTTGATTGTTTACATTGAGAGAGATATTTTTGTTTGTATTGATAATGAAACTATAATGCAACATTTTCAAAATATGAAAACTCGTTGTGAACAATTGTAACTTGTATTATTGGTTTTGTTATGAATTATGAATGGAAGTACTATATTTCTATCTTTTTAGTATTATTTTCTTTGTATAAAAATTTCGGAACATTTATACTAAGACCCCTGGCCACATAATCCTGGATTTGCCACTGATTACTTTTAAACCAATTGACAAATACGTCAATCTTTGCATATTCAGGAGAATCTAAGTTGTATTAATTTGAGCAGCATGAACATATCTAATTTCCTTCAGTGAGGATGAACACAATGAAGAAGAATAGGTCGGAATACTAGACTTAACTCAGCCATCTTATGAGTACATGGTAACCCATGGCTGTATTTAATAATGGGGTGGTGCTAGAGGCACCAATTTTGGGCAACACCTTGGGCACCAACTCTCTAATAAAGGTGGAGCCTGCCAATACAACGGGTCTCACGCTCTATTAGAGAGTTGGTGCCCAAAGTTGGTGTCTCTAGTATTTTCCTTAATAACGCCACTGCATGTAGTGGGATCAGCCCCGACATATTTTATCCTCTTTGACTTAATATACCCAAAATAAGGGCTGTAATTATAAATAAAAAAAACCCTACATAGAATGCACTTTAGAAACACACCCAAAAAACATTTACTACATATGAAATTAGTATTGAAGTTCCTATAAATTACATTTATGTCATTGATTAACTTAAAACAAGCCCAATACAAAATTCCCAAAAGAACCCAAAACAAGCCCAGCGAGCCCATATTAGATTTTTTTTGCCAAAATTACATTGTTAATACCATGTCATAAAAGTGCATTGTTAATACCATACTATAGAAGTATATTGTTAATACCATGTCATAAAAGTACATTATTAATACCATGTCATAAAAGTGCATTGTTAATACCATGCTACAGAAGTATATTGTTAATACAATTTCATAGAAAAATATTCTTAATACAATTTCATAAAAAAAAACATTTTAAATACCATTTCATACAAAAAATCCAAAAAACCCTAACAAGAGATTCGATATCTTTTGCTGCCACCTCCAATTGTCCATAGTTTCACCAGATACAATTGTAAAGGCAAAAGGAAATACCTTTACAAGAAAAAAAAAAAAAGTACATTGTTAATACTATGTCATAAAACTATTTTCCTAGTAAAAATCACATTTTGCATATCATAAACTTCAAGTGCATAACCATATATAAAGCAAAATATAGAGTGTACTTTGTTACTGAAAATCTGTTAATACTATGTCATAGAAGTACTCTGTTAATACTATGTTATATAAATCAACTCAGTTGCAGGGTATGAACAGTATAACAGCTGTTCATACTGTTTGCCCGTTTCGGTGTTCACTCCTGTGATGGAAGGGCAAAGTTCCCCACTGCCTTGAGAACCATAAACTGGTTGACAAGTCAGCTTTCTTTGGTGTGCGAGCGTGCTGCTAGCAATACAAATTCTAGCAGACTTAGTTTGGAGTAGATAACTTGCGCCCCAAGTTACTGATTTCTGCAAACAAACGATTGTGAATTTGGGTGAGGAATATCTCCCAAGTAAGTTCTTTTCTTGCCTCAGACGGGTGAGGACTTTAACAATTTATCTCAGTATAAACAGGCTGTTCTGGCCAGAATGGTTGATGGAATTTAAACTGTTTCAGGCAGAACTGATGGGATTTAAACTGTTTTTAGGCAGAACTGATGGAATTTGAAATGTTTTTTAGGCAGAACTGACTTTTACAAAACTATAACAATAAATACTCATGCTAGAGAGATGAAGATACAATTGGAACTCCATTTCTGCCTGGATGGGAGGCTCTGTTCTGGGCTGGACTGGAAATGTCCGGACTGGACTGGAACTGTCCGGGCTGGACTGGAACTGTCCGGGCTGGACTGGAACTGTCCGGGCTGGACTGGAACTGTCCGGGCTGGACTGGAACTGTCCGGGCTGGACTGGAACTGTCCGGGCTGGACTGGAACTGTCCGGGCTGGACTGGAATGTTGACAACTCTGATTGCTAAGCTTCAACTATAAATCGATACCAAAGGTTGATTCTGGCAGAGCTTCAATGTACTTTAGGCTTTTGTGAAGCTTCTGAGTGGGCAGAACTGAAGCTTCTTGGGCAGAAGTGGCTGTTCTCGAGGACTTCAGTGGGCTAGAAACTGCACTGTGAAATTTGAATGACTTATTTTCTAAGTCTGAACCTTGGGAATTCTAATCTAAAGCTGGTTTTCACTTGGAATTCAAGTGAGCTTCTGGTTGAGTTGTTTGTTTGTGTCTTGGCTCAATAAGCTTTGGTTGCTTCAGTGTTTTGAAGTCATTTTGAGTTTTTGTTTTTGATTGATTTTCTGGTTTTTTGAGTGTCCTCTACCCTGTTCACTCCTTCTTGTATTTATAGAAAAACTGTTTCTTCTCTGGAGTAGGGTGATTGTGTTTTTTATCTGGACAGCCCCCATGCTTTCCTGCTTATCCCTTTCTCAGATTTGTAACTTGCTTATCTATCTTGGGAGAATTACCTTCTCTGTAAAGACAGGAAAATCTCTGTATATACATATATAAAGGGGACTTAATCTTCAGTTCTTCTTGATATCACGAAACCTTCAGTCACTTCTTCTATGGCAGTTGCCATTGCTGACTTTTTCATCCCAGAGGCTGCCTTTGCTGACTTTTCATCCCTGCTGACTTTTATCCCAGAGGCTGCCATGTGGGATTGTTCCCTCTTCTGGACTGGACTCCCTCTTCCTATTTATGTTGGGCCTGTGAGGCCCAACTCAGCTTTGTTTGTTCTGATGGGTCTTGGGCTGGATGTGTCAATTTTTGGCCCAAACACATACCACTTACTGGAAGTTAACAACTGCTCATACGACTTACAGATAACAAATTGTATACTACAAATCAACTTACCAGCTTGTTGAAATTTACAAAAGTCATATATTAGACCCACAACCACCTAAAAAGCCAAAATTGGCTTGTTGCAAATGTCATATCAAAGCATAGAGAAATGAATAAATTCAGTCACACGACACACTTAGAATGAGTTCAAAATGATAATATCTCTCTTCATCAAAATAACAGAAGTCCAAAATGAAATCAAAGCATGATCATTAAATTCAGCTGCAATTCCATTACAAACTTGCAAAGCAAAGAGAGTAGCTCTCTTTCAGCTACAATTCAGAAGCAAAAATAATTGCACAAAACTAGTACAATAAATAAACCAATTTTCTCATTTTCTAACTCTAAAAATGAGGAATTTGTGAATATTGACACATTTTATCAGCAACCCAAATTCCCAAAACAGATGTTTAGCAAAATAGATGTAACTCACCCAATTTTTTGGTTAAACTTTTACTAAGACTCTTAGCTAGCAGCTTGAAATGATGTAGAAAGTTTGGTCTCTTAGTTCGACAACACCAAAAGTAAATGAATTAAAACATATGCTATACATAACTGATAGGCTTTGGTCAAACATAGAGCCAATAGTAAGGAAACTGAATTTGGTTAATATTACAGAGAATAGTCCTAGAAATGTAGGAAAGACATGCATCCTCTCTGTAATGTATTCACTAATTTGTATTTTTGGTGCCCCTAAAGAAAGAAAGGACTAACATCAACCAAAGCAAATATGCCTATCACGACTAAAGAATAAATCAATTAGTTTCCTTCCATATTGAAACGATCATAAAACACAACATAAAAGTTAACATGTTCAAATCTCTAACACTTGACCATGTAAAGATTGATTTAACGATGCTTTCTCTCTGTGTCTCTCATTGTGTGGCTAAATGCCAAATTAACTGAGACAGCAGCTTAATTTTACACTCTAATGGCACAGAGTATGCAAACCAACTAAGCTCCTGCAAATTACACACGATAACAAGTTAGCCTATTATACATACAACAGCGGAAGAGAAAGCTAACAAGGGAATCTGATCAGTTCTGACAAAGAACACAACCACATTACAAATGGTTGATTATCTACAATGATGCAATAAATTCACAGATAAGATTCACCATCTGTGCGTCATAAGCAGGGCCTTCCATTTGGAAGTGGCTTATGCCTTCAATCAGGTGTGTTTCGACGCACTTGGATGCTAAACTTAGCTTGTTCTTGAGCTGCTAAACACTTGTGAACCCATCCTTAGTTCCTATTATGAAAAAAATTTGGTTTTGGAGATTGTAGTACGGCGTTGTGGTGTCTTCCAAAAAGTATAGAGGCAATCATGCCGAAAGGATACCCTAGACTAACATAACCCACAACTTGTTCAATCTGATCTACTGCAGAGCCTACAACTGGGGCACCTACAAAATAACATAGGGGAAATTTTAAAAATAGGAG